CATCCCCACCCCCCGCGGGGCTCCGGAGCGGGGGAGCGGCGGGGGAGTGGTTACCGGCGGCGCCGCGACACCCCCGGCCCCCGCCCGCCCCGCGCCCATAAATCAGCACCATGACTACTTCTGGGCATGGAGCGAGGAGGATGCTCCCCCCGGGCCCCGCGCTGCTCCTGCCGCCGCTGCTGCTCCTCTGCCGAGGTAACCCCTCCGCCGCGACCCGGCAACTCTTCTCTTCTTATTATTTCTTCTTTTTTATTATTTCTTCTTTTTTAATTTTATCCCTAATCCTCCTTCTTTTCCTCTCCCTACCCCCGCTTCCCCACTTCGCTTTTCTGAACGCGGCTCCGCGCGCTGCCCGCTCCGGGTCGGGGGACACCGGGTGGGGGGGGGGGTGGAGGAGTTCGGGGGTCCGCAGGCGCTGGGGAGGGAGATGTGGGGAGCGCTCCGGGAACGCGCTCTTCAACTGTTGCCGAGGGGTTTCTTGCATTACTTGCAATAAAATTGGGGTTACGCGGGCAGGGTCGGGCTCTTGTGGGGGTTAAAGGCTTCCCCTCTGCGCTTTCAGCCCCCGGTCCCGGTTCGGAAGGGGCTCCCGGAGCAGCTCCTCGCGTGCTGCCCGCTGTGCCCGGCAGCGGCTGCCCGGAGCCCGGCGTTACGGAGCGGCGGGGCTGCAGTCGCGCGGCGCTCCGCTCGGCCGCGGCACGGGAAACTTCCGAAACGAAGCCGGGGGGTGAAACCGAGCGGAGGGACGCGGGCAGCGGCTGCAGGATGAGGAGAAGCGATGTGGGAAGAGTTCCCGTGGGGCAGGAGGGGCCCTTTCCTGCCCGGGCTGTGATGGGGATCCTGCCGAGCCCGGGCGGTGGGCACAGCAATGCTTTCCTGCGGGCACCGCGATGCTCCGCTCTGAGTCTTCTGCATTTAACCAAGGAGAGAGTTAAAAACAGCGAAGGAATGTAGGAATGTGTTCTTTTTCTGTGCTTTTTTTTTTTTTTTTTCTTCCTTATTGCTTTGCCACGTTAATGGTAATCTTTTCTCTGCTGTTCCCCTCTCCTCCTGTGTGGGCAGCTACCATGGTGAGATCGGGCTGTGGGTGTAATGCTTCCAGCACGGATCCGAGTGCTTCAGCATATGGAAAGCCGGCTGTGGCTGCGGGCCTCCCGCCGGCCGTGCTGTGCCCTGTGGGTGTGGGCTCTGGGGGCACAGCAGGCGGTGGGTGTGTGCCACGCACACCTGTAGCTCCCTATGGCTCCCCGTGGGGCTGAGTCGGGTTTGCTGCCACGGCATCAGTGTGGGGCAGCTGCTGGAGGTCGTGTCCAGCCACGAGGCCTAAGGACACAGCCACCCGTTTGCCCAAAGTTCTCCAGAAGGGGTCTGGGTGCTGCGTTCAGACCTGAGGAGAGGTGTGGGACGGGCAGTGTGCGTGCTTTGGGATGTTTGTCCCCGTGCTGCTTTGCATAACGAGTGCCTCCATGTTGTGGTGAGGCTCGTCAGGAGCAACACAGAGCAGCTGTGCTGGCTGCTGTACAACAGGTTTGCAGAGTGCAGTCTTGGAGTTGTGGGTTATTTTCTGCACATCAGTGCAAGTTTCAGCGTTTTGCCCAATCAGACTCCAAATGGATGTGTTTGAGGGGCACTGGGTCAGCCTGACATCGCCACGCTGCCTCCAGCTCTGGCACCCAGCAGGGCAATGCATTTCGGGCGTTTGGCTTCTGCTTTCTGTCTGTGCAGGTGGTGAAGCTGCTGTGGGTCTGGGCATCGTGGGGGCAACGCTGTGACCTGGGCACCGCGGGGCCTCTGGGAGGGAAGAGCCCGCGCTGCCCCTGGGTCTGCTTGCTTTCTCCAGCTCTGTTGCAGAGCTCCATGCGCTGACACCTGACTGCAGCTGATCGATAGATTCTCCTGAGGTTCGGATGCCAAAACAGTTACATTAAAAAACAAATCAATACAGTCCAATTAATGTGCTGTATTATTACAGGGGATGATAGGGGCTCCGCAGCTCCTGAGCGCCGTTAGCTCCGTGTTTAAGGCAGCTCAGCGTGGCAGTGAGACGCGTTCCATGCACTTCTCGTGCTGTGATGTGAGTTGCTGTGACTGCAAGCATCCCTGTTCTCCCTCCTCCAGCTTTTATCCCCATCCCGTCTGCATCTCACAGAGGAGAGATCAGCACCCTGCTGACCTCGGGGCAGGGATGTGCTCCTCTTGGTGGGGTGGGGGATCCCCGTGCATTTCCTTTCTCTGGGAGTTCCCATTGGGATGCTGGAATCGATGGGAAGAGCCTTGTGATGCACAGAGCGCTCCTTGGGAGGGTTTCCTACTCGCACAGGTTGGGCTGCAGGCTCAGGTGCAGTGCAAATATTAACATTTCTTTCACGCTATCCAGAAATCCTCTTGCTGCACACTTTCAGCTTTTCTTTGTTTACGTAAACGTGTTTGATTTCTGACAGCGTTCAGAAAGCTTCATGAATTTATGATGTGCTCCAGATTCGTGTACGCTTTCTCCCTTTATTTTATTATTATTATTTTTCTTTAAAAACGCTTTCTTCCCACATTTTAGCGATGAAATGGAGAGAGAGACACGTGCCAGCAATATGTTGAGAGGCAGCGTAAACACCATCCTTTATGGACCATCAGTTTGTTCAGTTTCAAAAGCAGCCCAGCCTCCCGCTTGATCCATTTGCTGTCACAGAATGGGACCAATGGTTAAAGGGGTGGGAGCTGCTTGGGGAGGAGCAGCTGAGCCTGGGCTGTGCGTACATTCACAGGTGGAGGCTGTTGGCAGAACAAAGGGTGAGGACTGGGAATGCTGGTGCTCCACAGGTGCAGAGAAGGCCATTGCACTGGCACTCATCTTGCACAAAGGCATTTTCCTCCAAGGTGTTTGGAAGTAATGGAGCGGCTTAGTTACTAACATTATTAAATCCTCATCTCTGACAGCCACGGGAATTAATATACAAAGGTTTCCTCCTCTTTTTTTAATGCAGCTCAGTTACTCATTTTCTGTCTTTTGCTTAGGAGTAGCCCACTGAAAGTTATTACTGTGATATTGGTGCTCAGAAAGGTTCAACTCCATCATTAAGAAAGGAAAAGGCAAGTGAAACATAAGACAGCTTGGATTTTATTGCAGTTGAGGTATTTTTTTTTCCCCCATTTCAAATATGATTCATTCTTCCATCTGTAGCTCCCAGAGGGGGATGAGAGCAGGTGCTGCTGGGCTGCAGTCCGTGTGCTGGGAGCACAGTACCCATGAGGAGCACAGTGGGGTTCTGCCCCATTACAAGAGTTATGGGAAGTCTTTGGCACAGGGTGAGAGGTGGTGGTGATGTTCTTATGGCTGAAATCAGCCCCCCAGCCCTGGCACGTAGGGAGCAGGGCTGTCCTTTCAGGGGCTGAGCTGCAGAGCTGTTCTGTACCCTTTCAGAGCCCAGGTACCCATCCACATCACACACAGCAAATGTGTGTGCAATGCTCTTGGAGCTGTGCTGAGCTCACTGGTGTGAGCTGGGCCCCAGTCAGTGTGCAGGACCCCGTCCTGCCTTTATCTCCTATGGAAGCTCTCTCTTCCAGTGGGGCACTTGCATTTATTTACTTCACAGCTTCTCCCATTAGTATAATCATTACTCCTCGGACTGGGTTTGAATTCTGAGCATCCCACTGTGGTACTTAAAGAATTAATTACAGTGATGAAAGAATTCCTCTAAAGACTCCTATGAATTGGTCTGGTTGAAGTGTTTTAGCTTTGCTTCAATTGGTGCAGCTCTTGTCAAAGGATTGTGAGAAAATGCATGGGTCAGTGATTTAGATTAGGCAAATTATGTTAGAAAAATTGATTTGATTTAGAAAGTGAGCTTTCAGATGGCGGGGAATTGCCTGCTTCCTCCTCTGCTTTGCTGCTGTTCCCTGAGGATGAGCAGGAGTGAATAACACAGGGTTAATGCAGGGGCTGTGCAGGAGGGCATGGCTGAGGGCTGTGAGCCACTGCTTGGCTGCGGTGGGATGGAGACCAGCAGTGGGTTCCTACAGAGCCCCTGGGTGCTCAGAGCCCTGCTCCAGCTCTCCTGACCCCGTGTTTCCCCGTCAGAACGGAGGTGCCCCAAAGTGCTCGGGGCCATTAGTGAGTCTCACTGCTGGCAATTAGGGTTAAGGCTGAAGATCCCCCAGGAGGGGAGCAGCCCCCCGCCAGCAGCTGAGCTCAGCCTTGCAGTGGAGGGGTTGCAGAGCAGCAGCCCATCTGTCCGCTTGGTGGGAGGAACCTGTGCTCATTGCACAGTAATCAGCCCCCTGGTGTTTAAAGAAACAAAACTGCTGCAGGTTTCTTGCTTTAATGTAGAGAACGGGCAAAATCTAAAGCCCGTTAATGTGCTCAGAGTCAGTGGGGCTTTGCTTGGCTTTTTTTTTTTTTAAAAAAAAAGTGTCTTTTGACAAATAGAAACTGTACCAAATTAAAAAAAAAATAACATAGGAAACAATAGATTGCCATTGGTTTTTGGGTAGCCTGTATCTGCTGTAACATTTCAGGGCCATTCTTTCCTCCCCAGTGGATGACCAGTGCCATTACTGGCAGGGGATGCTTCTCAGGTGGTGGATGTCTGCATGCCTCTTGCAGCAGGTGATGCGTTATGCAGGTCCATTCCCTGCTTCAATAGCTTGGCTGTGTTTGCATTAAAAGCCTAATATTCAGGGCTTTTAATTTGTTTGTAAGAATTTGCTCCAGGCTCTACCTCGGATGGAGAAGTCCAGGAGCGTTGCTTTATTTTTATAATCTCATTTCATTATTTGTGCATTTCTCTTTTTTTTTTCCTTTCCCATTAACCACGAGGGCACAAAAGCATACAGGCTGCTTGGTTCTCACCAATGTGAACCAGTGGGCAGTGCCATGGAGGAGAGTTCTGTCTCCACGTGGCTGAGTGCTTGCTGGGATCACAGCAGTGACTGCAAACCCCAGCAAGCGCTGGGGGATCCTGGAGGAGTTGGGAGTGGGAGCCCAATCCTGAATATTTTACCCACGTCCCTCTTCTGTTGACATGAGGTTTGATGTCTGAGTCAGAAGGGGAACCAGTTAGGGGGCCTCATCTAAGGAGGTTGAACCAACAAGAAAACGACTGTAAGCAAATCCTAATGGCTTATATTCCTCTTTCCTTTGCGACTGTAATACTGTCTTTCCTTCCACCTTCTGCTGAGCTGTGGAAATACTCTGCAAA